TTAAACAAAAAAAAGCCTATACCATATTCATGTGAGAGCATTGTATTATTTTAATTTTAATCAATATAACTACATCTTGAAGTGCCTTTAAATTGTATAAGATGATGATCTAAATATATTATCTTAAGAGAAATAGTATTACCTTAGAAACCAAAATGTAAGATTTTTTTCTTTATTTTTCATGAATTTTGTTTATAGTTTTCTAATATTATAAACAAAATTCTTGTAATATTATTACTTCTTTGGATTCAATTTTTTTTTGCTAATAAAATAATAATCTGCAATCACTAACTTCTTATTTTCTTTAAACAGAATATATTAATGATACACTTTTGATAAGCCTATGGGCTTTTTTACATGGGCTTAAATATCTTAATATGCTCTAAAACCCGATTAAGTTCTCTAATTAGGCCTTAAGCCCAACCTACAGATCTGTTCGGACGCGGGAGCTTCCCATTTAACGGCCATTCCTCTCATCTCATCAAACTCTTCAACACATCTCCTCAAATCCAAACCTCCGACTAGTTTCCTCGCACGTGCGAGTTTTTCCCCGGCAACGTCGTCAAAAATCTTCTCCCAACCTTTTTCTAATTCCCCACGTGCGTCGCACAGCTCCATCGTCCCGTTCTTCCACTCCGTCCAGCCCCACCCTCTATCCAGCCGTCTCATCACTTTCGCCACGCACGAGCCGCTGCATGCGACCCTGCATGGACGACACTTGACACCGTTCAAGGGTCCACGACTCGAAAGTGCAGCCACGGGCATTCCGTACCTAAACGGAGGGAAATCGTAGGTCCTATCGGTCACGATGCAGAAAGGGATATGTTTTGTTACGTAAGGGACACGGTGTGTTGAGAGCTGAGCCTTAAAGGCAGACTCGGAGTTGAGACGAGTTAAACCGGCTGAGTCGATGTCGGGGATTAGGGAGAGACGGGAGAGAGCCACTGTTGAGGTGTTGAGATCGCCGACTCCGAAACGGTCGTTGAGGCCACCGTAGGAGGAACCAGATGGGACTAGGTACTGACCCGGTATGAAGTATTCCGGGTCGAGCGGGTTAGACCAGTAACCGTCAACACGTGTCCGGACTATCCAGTCGTATGTAAAGTTATTCTCGTTTTGGTATGTCTTTATCATCGTGATGCAGCCTTCTACGAGATTAGTACTGTAATAAGCCCTGTCATTGGAAGCAAGACGAGAAAATATTTTCAGAATTGTCATTGTAATGTAATTACCAAGAAACCATAATTAATCTAAATATCAACCTCATCTGTATTTTAAAACCCTAATCGAGCAAGAGGCAATTAACCCCACATAACTTCGTCT